TACTTTATAATGAATAAATTCAAAAATTACTCATTATCAACTAGGATTAATGAAGAAATTTTGACGTTAAATTTTACATGAATTAGCTATGATGACAAAGTTTAAAAAATATTTTAGTTTAGTTTTTATTTTTGTTACGTTAATGATAATATGCCATAGAACAAATCATCATTTAAAACCATCTGTTAATCTTTTCTTGAAAATACTAACAAATGCTTTCGAGAGGCGACTATTTTGTCGTTTATCATTACACTATGTGTTTTTTTTTTCTTTTTACACTTTTTTGCTTCCCAAAATTTTCTATAAATACGAGAAATGAACAATTTAATGCTACTAAGGTATTCACAGATGTGAAGCATTTCGTTTATGCTAAAATCATTTTGCTACTTTCATATATTATCTCTACATTCTTTCATAATTTCGTGAAAATTATTCCAAGAAAGATTTACCTTTTAATAAAATTCCATTTCAATTATAATTGCACACTCTGTTGAATTTTTTATAATTTTGTGCTATTCATTTGTATAGAAAATTATATGTATAAGATTAACTGAAAATCATTTTTGATATTAAATTCTATTTTGTTTTAGCATTGATTTAAATGAATACAACACAATAAAAGTATTTATCAAAGAGTTTAACAAGAATAAATCTACATTTATATGCTTTCCTTATGCAAAACTACCAAAATATAGTGAAATTTACAAAAACAAATTTTTTCCAAAAAAAATTTTTTTTTTTGATTTTTGTAATTTTGAGATTTCTCAGAGTAAATTAATGAGAGAGAAAAAATCGAAAAAAAAGAAAAAAAAGGAAAATGAGAAAGATTCTAACAGAACATAAAGTAACTTTTATAATTTTTATGAACTATCAAATTTTAAACTTTACTTTATGTTGAAGAAGTTAATTAGTTACAGTACCACTTGCTAGTGAGAACTGGCAAATGATACTGTAACTGATCCAAGTTCCATCTTTTATTCAAACTTACTTCACCAAAAGTTTATTTACCATTACCATTACCTGTTATCTGCATTAAATCGCATTAGTTATACAAAAATACTGTTTATGCTTCTTCTTAAATTAATCTAATTAGCAATTAATTCATTAATTTTAAGTTTAAAAGCAAAAGTTAATCATTTTGCTTATATGTTGGCTTTTTAATTTTTAGCAATGATTGTCATTAATAAATTTCTTGTTTCGTTGAATTCATTTCTCAGTTGAATTAGAGTGAAATCATCAAAAAACTTCAGATAAATTACTAAAAATGGCGGTGCCAGCAATTCGTCTTTCGAGCGGTATAAAAATGCCAATCATTGGTTTAGGAATGTGGTTGGTTCGTCCTGTTATCTTTCTTTTTTTTGAGCAATTTCTTTTAAATTTCTAATTAACAGTACATTTTTTACAAAATCTAAGAAGTGCCAACAGTTTTTTTTTTTTTTTTGAAATGACATTGATTCTCTTTTGAAGCATTATTATTTTTCAAAAATATTACTCAAGTATTGAGAAGTATTAGTTGAAAATTTAAATGTGAAATTTTAGTCCAAACCCGGTGAAGCAGCTGAATCAGTTCGATATGCATTAAACAATGGTTATCGACTAATTGATACAGCTGCTTGTTATTTTAATGAGCAAGATCTGGGTAAAGTTTTAGATGAAGAATATATCAAACCTGGTAAACTAAAGAGAGAAGATGTATTCATTACTACAAAGGTAAATTTTATCATTTTTATTTTATGTCGATCCAAACCTTTCTTCGTTTTTTTTTTTTTTTTTTTCAAATGCACAAAAGAACGAAAACGAAATACTAAATCAGTTATCTTCAAAAAATTTAGCTTTTTATTTCCCTTCCAAATTATCTTTTATTGTATTTAGTAAATATAAAATTTTCGCAGTTTAACAATTTTTGTAATTTTATTGATTTCATCTCTTTGTATTATAGAATTTTTAGCTAATAAGAAGTTAAAGTTTTAATTATTTATTGATGAACTGTTAATAGCAAATTGTTAATTGTTCTAAAAACATAAACATTAAGTGCAGAACAAGTAAAATTTACTTCAAATTGAAAATACTTCTTCACATAACAATACTTCTACATGCACTGTTAAAAAATATTTTGAAAACAAAACCTAACTTTTGTTCAACAAAAAAAAAAAATGAAAAACGAAAGTGTCAGAACTTAAGTTTACTTTTCAAAATATCTTTTAACAATTCATACAAAATTGAAATAATTTTAAAAATGAAATATTCCTAAGCAACAATTTACAATTATTTTGATTATTTTGCAGTTATGGTGTACACATAATCGAGCAAAAGAAGTAGAAGGACAATTATGTCAATCGTTGGAGAAATTACGAACAAATTATGCAGATTTGTATCTCATTCATATGCCAACTTCTTTTGATGTCAGTTTTTAATTGTGCTTTTAAATTTTTAATTTATTTCATTTGAAACTTTATCTGATTCAAAAATTTTAAGCAATTTTAAACTTCCAATTTTTATTAACCTGTCCAAATGAAAATAGCACGAGAATTAGTTCAAATCAAATTCGATATTTCGAGAAAAGATTCTGTTGCTTTCATTTTTTTTTTTTTTTTTGCAGCATGAAATGAAGAAACCGGATACCTCAGATTCATTGGAAAAGTTGTGGACTGTTAGTTTACTGTCATTTTATCAATTTAATTCATTTTATGAGTTTGCTAATTTTTAAAAATACTAAAAATTAGAAAGTTGTTGTGATAATTTGTACGAGATGGAAATTTTATTTCTTTTATAGGGTATGGAAGGCGTATTCAAAAAAGGTTTGACGAAAGCAATTGGTGTTTCAAATTTTAGTATTAATCAAATTGAAAGAGTGCAAAAGTCAGCGTCCACAAAAATTCACAACGTTCAGGTTAAAATTTATATTAAATATAGCTGCTTAAGATGGCAATGTGAAAAATTTTATCTTCTCCATCCAAAAACATTAAAAGCTTTTCAAAATTTTCATTTCATTTAATTAATGGTTATTTAATTAAAATTTAATTAACACAACCTTTAAAAAAGCATTAATTTCTGTTAAAATATTTATGAAATCAAAAAATGTATTTTTGATTCCATAAAGATTTATTTTTTCGAACTTTGTGTTACTTACAGGTAGAATGTCACCTGTATTTTCCACAATTTGAATTACACGAAGTATGCAAAAAGCATGGTATCTCATTAACAGCCTATGCACCACTTGGATCACCTGGACGAGTTGATTGGGAAGTTCCAAAAAGAGGGTAAGGTTTCTGAAAATTGAAGAAATAATTTCAAATTTTATAAAGTAAAGTTGTATTTTTTTTTTTTTTTTGAAACTTTTACTTAATTTATTTATTTGTTGTTAGTAATACTAATAATAATAACTAAAATTTACCATTTAGGAAGATGCAATGGGCAGAGGCAAAGGCAGTTTTGGAGGATGAAATAGTGAAAAAACTTAGCAAAAAATATGGGAAAACTCCAGCTCAAATATGTTTGAGATACCTTATTGAGCGTGGCATTTCTGTTATTCCAAAAAGTGTCAAGGAGCATAGAGTCAAGGAGAATTTCGATGTATTATCAATTTTATCAGATTTAAACTTTTTTTTAATCAGATTTTTTATCAAACTAAAATATGTGAAATTAGCAGATTACCTAACACAAATTAACACTCTCAAGTAATTCTTGAAAGTAAATTTTTTCTTCTTTTATCAGGTATTTGATTTCAAACTTACCGAAAGTGAAGTGGAAGAATTAAAAAATGTCAAGAATCGTCAACGTCTTTTCTTTTTCGATTAGTAAATTTTTTAAATTATTTTAATGATTATTTTACATCCTGTATGTTTTTGGTTTTTTAAAATCTTCAAATAAGTCAGCAAATTGTTTGTTTAAAATAATTCAAAAATTTATTTCAAATATTTAACTGATAAATTTATTTTTCAGCATGATCAATCATCCGGAAGATCCATTTAAACATGAACGCACATGAAACTGTCATTGAAATTAATTAATATTAGCATTAGTGTTTACTATCATTTGATATCAAATATTTTTTGTCATAGTTTTTTTCCACTTCTTTTTTTAATTTTTATTAGATCTAATTTAATAAATGATTTTCTGATTTATCCTTGTGCTATAACAATCATTGCTTTACATCTCGTATTTTGATTATCAGAAGAAAGCAACTATATATCAAAAATATATTTCAAATATCAAATCGAAATTTTGATGAATGATATTTTTGCTGTAAATTAAAACAGTAAGTTAGCAAAATTTTGTTGATAGGAAATTTTTGTCTTTATTATTTACACATACAATAACAGCTTTTTAAACTGCAATATCTCCAGTAACATAAATATTTGTTAGACATATATTGGAGAACTAAATTACCAGACAGAATATTTATTATTATTTTATTTTAATATTAGTTCACTAAAAACGGTACTTAAAGAATTTTAATTGAGAACAGTTTTGGCACATCGAGCAGATTAGCTCCAATTTTCTCATTCGAAAGATGAAATCTGCCACCTGCCAAATTTTACGAATATATCAGTGATAAATAAATATTTACAAATCACTGGCTCATTGCTTTGAGATTTCAACTGTAATCGAATGTGATTTTTGATTTCTGCAGCTTTAGAAATTTTCAAATCCACAAAAACTATTATAATTACTATTATACTTCAAATATATTTTGAAAAACTTATTTTATTAAATTTATTCAATGCTTAAAATTTAATTAAAGCTGCAATGCATATAAGTATAAATAGCAAAATTATTACTGAATTTAAATCATTTTATCATAAACCAATTATCAGTTCATTAGACAAGAGATTTTGGAATTAATAAACACATAAAAAAAAAAATTAGTTTATCAATAAAGTATGAATCAAGATATATGGACATACGAGAACAATAAGTGAGTATAGCCATGGCACTTTTAATGAGCAAGTTTTGTTCAAGAAAAAAAAAAAAGAAATCATTTGAAAAGCTTAAATTTATTAAATTTCTGATTGATTCATTTCGTAGTATAAACCTTTCTCCTCCATAAGTTCCTGATGTGTACCTATAAAAAAGATACTAATAGTGTAAGGTAAGCAATATGGGGTAAAACTATTCTAATTCTTAATAGTATCTATACTTCACTTAATCTTAATACAAAGCAAAAAAAAAATTACTTATTTTAAATAAGTTTAGTAAAAGTAAACCTTGTTCAGCAATTTCACCATCAACTAATACATAGATTTTGTTTACTGATCTTATGGACGATAAACGATGCGCCACTGAAATGATAAACAAAATTTTTGTGGATTTAAGCACACTCACATTCTATCAGTAATATTTATCATGCATTTGATCATCTCTGTCTAAAGTTTCTTTTTGAAACTACAAAATTGAATAAAACAAAAATTTTTATGCTCATTTCAATTAAAAATTTATTGCCTAGTTGTTTTCTTTTCTTTACATTAGACTAACCGTAAATACAAGTACAATTCTTGCTGACTGATTCGAGAGCACTTTGCACTGCCTATAAATTAAGGAAGATATTTAAAATTATAAAATGTTCGTAAGCCCTTTTATATTCTCGAAGAAAATTTCACTCACTGCAATTTCCAAAAAAAAAAAAACAATCGAAAGCAGATCGAATAAGTGCAAAAATTCCATCAAACCTTTTCACTTGCTGTATCGAGCGCTGCAGTCGCTTCGTCGAGTAGCAATACCCGCGGTTCTCGTATTATCGCTCGAGCGATCGCAATCCTCTGCCTCTGACCACCAGAAAGTTGAGCACCAAATTCTCCAACCTCGGTATCATAACCCCAGAATTGCATTTATTAATTCAAGAACTATTTTATATCAAATGCATAGTAACAAAATATTTGAATTTCAAGAGAACGATGAATAAGTGTCAACTATCATTCATTTTTTTTTAATTCTTACTTGTGGCAATGATAAGATAAAGTCATGAATATTTGCAATTTTAGCTGCCTCTATGATTTTTTCTTCAGTTGCTTCATCTTCTGGCAGGCCATACCCTGTAAATATAATACACTTTGAAATTTTTTCTTTAATTAGAAATTAATTTAAAAAATAAAAAACAAACGAGATTTGCTTTGCTGAAGCTATTTAGTTATCTTTTATTTAATACCATGACAGCATTTCAAGTAAAAATTACTGCATTAAAGAGCAAATGCAATCAATGAAGAACGAAATGCTAATAACCTTTAATTCTTTATTTTTAATAAACAAATACAGAATTTTTTTTTATACGAAAAATTATTTTCCTGAATTTCTATATTCCAGATAAAATATTTTATCATATATATGAAAAAATTGTTTAATTATTCAGTCTTAATTGAATTAGAAAAACGTTTATTAAAAATTAAAATAATATTCACCAATATTTTCGCGAATTGTAAATGAAAAGAGAATTGGTTCTTGTCCAACCGAAACAACAACACGTCTTAGGTATGCTGGATTGATTTGTTTTACATTATAATTATCAATGAGCTGAAAATTTATGTTCATTGAAAGAATTCTTCTTTTTTTTTTATTAAATTAAATTATTCACAATAAAATTTTATAGATGAATCGTACCACTTCGCCTTTGGTTGTACTATACATACGTTGAAATAGTGCTAGGATAGAACTTTTCCCAGAACCTGATGGACCAACGATAGCTATTGAATCACCTGGTCGAACCTAAAATACTGATTTGATAGTATAGTATTTTAGTATTTCAATGCTTCTCTTCACTTTTGGTAGATGATTTAAAAAAAGCTCTGCTTTTTGAACATTATAAGAAGAAAAAATTAAAATTAATTTAATGATAACAAATCAAATCGTACTTTTAATGTAAGATTACGAAGTACAGGATAAAGTGGTCGAGATGGATAACGAAATTCCACATTCTTTAGCATTAATCGAGCGGTGGTTTTCTAAAATAATTTTTTTTTTTTTTTCAACTGATTTTTATTACTTATTTAATGGTATAGTATTTCAGCTGGAAAATAAACTGCTTAAAAATGATCTAATGATTCGTTTTTATTATGAACAGACTACAAACGACTCTAATCGTTGTCGAAGTTAATCGAAAATTTGAAAATATTTAACGCTTACTCTAAAAGAAAAAAAAATTCAAATTTCTAAATTAACCGGTCGCAGTCCCTCATCGCTTAGATTATTCATGTCAACGGCAGTTTCCTTAATGACATTGAGAATGTTTCCTGATGCTACGCGTGCTTTTGATATATCATTTACTGATGCTATCAATTGACTGATAAAATTAGCACCAAATTGTGTCAATAATACCACCCTGAATTTGACACTTTTAAATGTGTGACAGTGTTATTTTATAAATAAATGTATACTAGATTTACTAATATTTCTAAAATTTTTAGTAGTTGAAAATAAAACACTCTTTTCTAATCGATAACTAAAATTTGACTTTTGCGCATTTGCTTAAAAACAGAATAAATATTTCAAACCTCAAATAATTAAACGGTGTAATTTCATTACTTAACATCATTACTTTTCCAAAATGTAACGTTATTGCAATGAGAATATAAGTGAAAGAGAATTGACATGCAAATACAAATGAACTAATGCAAGACTGTCTTTTCATCGTCCTGAAAACATCTGAGAATTACATTTAGCAAAATATACAATAGTAGCCGTTTTATTCTAAATCACTATAACAAATTTTATCAATTTACTTTTGTAGAGGTTTCAGCGTTTCGTAGAAAATACTGTTGAAATGTTCCTGCAGAGTATAAGCTTTAATTGTACTCATATTTGATAATACAGCGGTTGCTAGCTGAAAATGATTGAAATTTATCAATGAAATAGCACACATAATTTTAGTAGCAAACAGATACATATGATAATTAATGATTTCAAAAATATCAAACATTAGCAGCTTTTTTTTCCTGTTCGGCCATTTGTCGCTGTCGCTTACTTGTTTCTCGTAATTCGACCAGACGAAAGATGAAAAAAGCTGGAAATTGAAAACCGCAAATGAGTGCTAATTTCCAGTTTATTAGTAATGCAATAGTAACTGATACTGTGGAACATATAACTGCTGGAAGAAGCAAATCCAATTTATCGCCAAGTGTCTGAAATTAAAAATGATAACATAATATGATCGTTGTTCAGTAGAAAATCATAAAATATCATGAATAAATTAAATTCAAATATGAACGACTGATAAGTTATTGCAGTATTATTGTGGTGAGACATCCTATAGGCTTGATAAATGAGCATGATCATCTTTCATCCATGTTATCAGAAAATGCATGAGTTATAACGGATGAATTTGATCACTCTGTTAAGTGTCGCAGTGTCAGACATCAATTTATGAACCAATCTTCCAGGTGTATTAGCTTCTTCATCAAAATAAGCTGCACCATGTCTTAGTATCTTTCGAAACATTTTGTTCCGCAAATAACCACAAAAGCCATTTCCATACAGTGCAATAAATAAACGCTACAAATATTTATGAATTAATACATTATGAATAATAACTATTGCATGTTTAGCTCAACAGTGATGCAATAAAATACATTTAATTAATCAAATTTGAAATTTGGAAGACCAGTAAAGTGGTGAATTATTTTGAGATTTAATTAAAATTTGTTAAAATTAAGTTAATTTAATAATACCCCAACTGCCTCGAACATTGTTTTAATAATGATTAGAGCTGTATAAACTGCTGCTGTGATAAATACCTGTTGAGCCGTTTCTTCATTTGAAACTAATGCTATCTACAAAAATAATCCTTAAATTTATCGGATAATTTTGAAATGAATGGAAATTAGTTATGAAGATAAATAGCTATTAGAAAAAAGAAAAAAAAAAGACATTCGCATTTGAATAGATCATTGAAAAAAAAGAACTGAAAAAGAAAATATAATAAAAAGGGAGAACAAAATAACTGACCTCAAGTACAGATGAAACTTCGAAACAAACAAGTAGAAAAAAAAATCCTCGTAGTATGGTTACTGGAACTGCTACACTCAAATGTGAATAACCATCTTTGTAACTTTTGATCAGATTCCAAATAGCATTGAAATTGGTTGTTTTTCCAGGAAGCTTAAACATTTTAAGCGCATTTTTTTCCTAATTTTAAACTTATACCTTGAATTATTCAGTATTGATAATTGATTTTATTTGAAAAGAAAGAAAAAATATTCCAAAAAATTTGATCAGATAAATTCATCGTATGTTAGTAGAAGAAAGATTCTATCAAATCCTATGAATATAATCAATCATCCGTTGCACGAATATTGCCAATGAGATAATTCAGTGAACATTTGAACAATTCACTGATATATGATTCTAATTAACTCATCTCATTACTTTAACCTGTGACTAATGAATTCAATGCATGACTGTTCTTGGCATGCACTGATAAAAATTAATAGGTTTTGATATTGATAAAAAGTATATAGTAAGAACTGGATAGTGCTAATTCACCATTAGTCATAAAAGTTTTACCGAATTTTGATCATCATAATCTTTATCATCCATAGCTACTTGCATGATATTTGTCTTGAACGGTGTATCCATTCGATTTCGCTTCTTTGACATCACAGGTAAAGCTAATTTTTCACGATCTGTACTAAGCACAGAATATGATTTGCCAAGACGTTTATGAGCACCCAATGATGAACGAGCCCATGCACGACGATATGTTTCGGCATCCTAAAATATCATTCCATCAATTCGAATTTACAAATTAATAAGTCAATTAATTGGATTTATCATACTGATCAAATTTAAATTGAATTCATTTTGTGCACAAAAACAAGCAAGAACTACCTATTGCGCAAAGGACTGATTGCTAGGGATAGTTGTTATACATTCGATGAAATTTTGAAGAAATGCACCTACAATAAAGTCTGATGGCATCATCGAGAAATGAGCAGCCAGCGAAACTTTTGATCGTTCACGTGGATTCGCTGCTAATTTATTAACAGCTAAAGAATCGAACTTCTGATCGTTATACATTCGATGAAATTTACCATCTCTGTTAGCTAGCAATTCTTCTGGGCTTCCTTCTTCTACAATTTGTCCACTTTCGAGAACGATAATACGATCTGCATTTCGAACGGTACTCAATCTGCAATGTAGCTCAAGTGTATTCCAAAACATGATGACAGCAACAGAAGAAAACTATCTCTGTATCATAATCAAGTTATCAGTCAAAGAAACAACTCTGAATATTTTGTCCTGGATATTTTTCAAAAAATCTTTGTCGTTTATAGAGATTCTTTGGAACAAATACAAAAGTGTAATGATAAAGTAAGAAAAGAGAACTGATTCAACGATTAAGGATGAAAAATATGATGACGAGTAATTAGAATCATACATCAGTGACTTGTTGAAAAGTTCATTGAATTATCTCACTGGCAATATTCCAGCGACGGATTTGATATAAACTTTCTTCTAATATAAACAGTTAAAGTATAACATTACCGATGTGCAATTGTGATCGTAGTGACACCTTGACTTGCTGCATCGATAGCTCTTTGCACGTCAACTTCGTGTTTCGTGTCCAGTGCTGATGTTGCTTCATCAAATATCATCACGGATGGATCACGTATTACTGCACGTGCAATAGCCACACGTTGCTTTTGACCACCGGATAGTTGTAATCCTCTTAAATTATGTAAGTATAAAAAAAAAAACAATTTACATTTAGCAATTTATCCAACCAAAAATCATTTTTCAATTACAATTTTCAAATAATTTTAGAAGAACGAAAGGATGATAGCATCTATATAATATTGGTAAAGAACTTTTAAGTAATCAATAAATTGCATCCAACTAATAAAAAATTGAAAATTGTAAACAAAGACAATTAGTTAGTTAATTAGAAGCATACAAGTACGATATCTATGTAAACTTTAAAGTAAATCTTTCCTGAAAGTAAACTTTAAAATAAATGAAAAAAAAAAACCTGTCACCAACGCGAGTTTTCATGCCTTCAGGTAAGGCACATATAAATTGCCAAGCTTCTGCTTTTCGAGCTGCTTCATTAATTTCTGCTTGTGTTGCATTTAAGCGCCCATATCGAATATTATCACTTATAGTACCTGTGACAGGTAGGAATAAATACAAGTAAAAATATTATCATTTAATTCTGTTAGCAATGCTTTTAGATTAATAAAACAATAACCGTGAACTTTTGATACATTTCTTTTAAAGTTATCTAATACAAACCATCAAAGAGTACTGGTTCCTGACTGACTAAACCAAGCTGAGCTCTTAAATTGTCCGGATTCAGTCGCTTCAAATTGACACCATCTAATGTGATCTGTGATTATCGCATAAATTATACGATAAAAGAAGAGAATGTCACTTTTTTTCAGCAAAAAAAACCCCAGAAAATTTGAATCTAATGTAGCAGACACGATATAACATTCAAATCCTAAAAGTTAACATAAGCAGCTTCAAAAATACCAACAGTTCCATTGATCGGATCGTAAAATCGCAACATAAGCGCCGTTATTGTACTTTTACCAGATCCGCTTGGTCCAACAATTGCGACATGCTCACCTGCTGATACAGTAAACGATACACCTTTCAGTACCTGTAGCTTTCAACTTTTCTAAATTCTATACAATAATTTAAAATAAATCAAAAAATTAAATCAAAATACATAATTTATCCAAATTTCTAAAGCTGAATCAACCTATTATAAACTCTCAAATAAACATAAAACCTCAATATCCGGTCTGCTTGGATATGCAAAACTAATATCCTTGAATTCAATAGCGCCATTTCCACGTGGTGCTAACATACTTTCACTATGTTTATTGATATAACACTCAATATTTGGTGTTTCAACCAGGATTGCATTCATTTCATTAGCATTTTGTCGAGCAGTAGATGCACCAGTCATATGAAAACCAATGCTAATTGATGTGACGCACATATACAACATGTTGATCGCTAGCTAAATGATCGATCATATAAATTAGTATAGAATAATTTAAAAAAGGAAAAAAAAAAGAATTATTTTCTTTATTGTATTGCAAATTGATCTTTATGCATAATGCATAAAACCAAAATTTATCATTTAAAAGATTATAAAAAAAATTATTTTATAAGAAAAAAAAAAAAAAACATACCGCAGCAAGACGACCTGGATTAGCATCATTAACACGCCACATACCATAACATAGAGCAGCAGTAAAAATGAATTCAGTTAATAGAACCTAAAAATGTTAGTAATAAAAGAAGTACATCAGTTATCTTCTAATTTTAACCCCTCATTCTTCTTTTACAATAATTATTACACTTTACAATTATTGTTTAAATGAGTGAGATTTTATTTTCAAATAAATTTGCACTTGTATTCTTTTACAAATTTCAACTGAATACCATATCTAATCTTTGATCTAAATTGTAAAGAAATAAAAGATGAAAGATTAGATGAAAATTGTGAACTTTAAAGAAGTATTTCTCTTCTAATAATTAACAAACACACACATAAATGTTTACATCACAATATTTACCTGTGCAAGTGCATCATAAATAGATGATGCAGTGAGACGCTGTTCTGTCATTCGGTTCAGCTCAATTGTCAATCGTTCATACCTAAAAAAAAAAAAAAAAATGGTATCAAAAATTTTACAAGAATTTAGCATCCCTACAACATACTTACAAAATATTGAAATGAATTTTTTTTTTTTAAAAAAAAATAAGTAAGTAAATAACCAGTTCTTTCTTACTTGCTGATTGTTTGTTTTTGAGCAGCAAATGCTATAACAGCTCGTATACATGAGAATGTCTCTTGCACCAAATTTGTCATTTTTGCTAATAATTTCTGTTCTTCATCGCGAGTTTTACAAAACCACTAAAATGATAAGTCTATTAATTATTAATTCTTTTAATGATATTAATTAATTTGAACAGTTGTAAAAGTGGCAGTAAATTGAAATCACTACTGATAAGACAAATATTCTGGATGATGTAAGCAGATTTAAAATATAATTTAAACAGATATGAATTGTTAAAACTATTAAGTTTATTTTATAACATTCATCTTTTTTTGAGTCAAAGAAAAAAAAAACAATTCTAAAAAAAAAAATTAGATAATTAACTAATGATCAAAATTTGTGACAATGTTTACAATTGTTATTAAAAAGATTTATGCATATCACAGAGAAGAATTTAAACAAAAAAAAAAAAAAAAAAAGATAAACTTTGCTAAAAATAAGCCTTGTTCCAATAAGTAATGGTAATGCAGCGAACATTACTAAGGTTACATCCCATTGAATGTAGAAACACACGGATGACGTAACTAATAAGTATGCGCAAATGAAGATAACCATAGGAACGTGATCAGCAATACCTTGATATATCGAATCTGCGTGACTAAAACGTGTAATAAAAACTAGATTATAAAATACGTGACTGGAACGTGACATAGCAACATACGATAAGACTATAATAAGTTTTTTTTTTTTTAAATAATATAAATTTTCAAAAGTAGAAATTTAATTTTAAAAAAGTAAAATTTTTTTAAGATTTTTTAACAATACATTGAGTAAAAAAAAAAAAAAAAAAAAAGAAGAAGAAGAGAAAATGATATATTCTAAAAAAAAAAAAAAAAATTCACAGATTTCATCAAAAATTGATTGATTGAGAAAAAAAAAGAAAAATGAAATATAACTCACTCATGAAGCATCGAAGCTACTTGACCGGAATGTCGAGACTCAAGCCATGCCACATCCATGTGCAATAATTTTCGTATGTAAGCTTTTTTAACTCGGAAAACTTGTCTGATACCAGATACTTCCCAAGCTAAGCGCTGTAAGTAATTCAATTAAGTAATAAAACAATCTTAATTAATTGATTAGAAAACAATGAACACATTGACACAATCAATGATAAATAAATTGAAAGTCGAACATTTGAAATTATAATTATTGATAAAACTAGGATGAAATTTAATCACATTAAATGTTACTAATTGTAATAATTACATAAAAACATTAAATATTTAAAATTTAAAATCATTCTGGTAAAATATATATGTGCATTGTAATAATAATAATAATAATAATAATAATAATAATAATAATAATAATAATAATAATAATAATATTATCAGAATATCCTAAAAATTTCTAAGGAAAATAGTTTTGTACCTGAAAAAAAGCAGCAATAAATGTAGCTACCGACAATGATAACATCATGATGAAAGCAGGTGTAGCAGAATATTCAAATTGAGCATCTATTCGAGATTGTTGCACTGAAGCATCGGACAATGTGGTAAAATTAAATTGATCAAAACTGTTATTACTATTTAAGCTAATTCCAATTTTGTTCGATTCAAATGATTCGAAATGTTTCGTCTTCTCCATTTTATACTGCTGAAATTAATCAGTTATATTTAATCCTTTATTAAGTATTTCTAAATTATAAAAAAATAAAAAAATTAGCTAGCTAAAACTTTTATTAAGTTTCAATTTTATTCAATTTCAACACCATTAAGATGATTTCATTAATATAAGTTAGTAATATCATTTATCAGGTCAGAGATTAAAAAACACATTTTTCTTCTTTTTTTTCTTTGAATCTTTACATTTCAAATTTCGTTTTAAATATTGGTAATAATTAATACTTTCATATAGTAACTAAAAATTTTTTTAAATTGAAGGTCGGACTTTGCGTTTATTAGTTTTTTTTTTTTAAATTTCTTTAGTCTTTCTTTGCTTATTTTCTCGTAGACAAGGTCAAGGACGCATTCGCATGCGCAAAAAGTATCAAATTAAACAAATTGGTAAAATTTGTTGGTTAGTTATCAAATTGCTCATAAGCATTAAATTTTTTTTTATTTTTGTTTTAAATAAAAAAGAATTTCCATAGTATTTCTTAAGATAGTCACTCGTATAATTGCTCGAAAATATTTATTTCTTTGATGTAATGAAAAGAGATTGCACTTTACATTTCAATAATTTACTATTTAATCATAATGAAAGCTAATAAAATATTCTATAAACATAACTAATAAATATAGCAATGATTAGAGTGATAATTTCATTTTATATTAACTGTATCAATTTTAAACATTCATTCCAGAAATCGATTCAATAAAAAAGTTTTCTTTTTTTTTTTCTGTCTTTTCTTTTAATTGGTAGAGAATGAAGTACCCATTTTCATTTGATGATAGAAAGGAATTTTAATTGGCTTTATTTCCTTCCATTTCACTTCACTTATCACTCTTACACATTTACGAGAAATTATGGCAAAATAATTGCTGTTAGAGATTTAAGTTTCGCCATATTTTTTAACTTTTATTTTTTAATTCTACACAAAACATTCATTCATTTTAGAAATTTAAAAAAAAAAAAGAAAGAAAGAAAGAAAGAAAAGGTGGAAGAAGAAAGAAATAAAAAACAAAAGATGAATGATAACATCAAAATTATTTACAATAATAACATTTATCGTTTTTTTTTTTTAACTTCTAAATTTTATTTGATTTTGAATTTCTAAATTACCTATGAAAAAATATATGACTTTTTAATTTTTTTTTCAGATATTTTTTTCATTTTGCATACTAAAATTTTTTGATAATGGAAATTACCAAATGGCAGTGATTAATTTTTCACATTATTATTTGTAATTAATTTATCATATCATTAATAATAGTTTTTACTTGCAATTAAATAAATGATAAACAACATTAGTGTGTTTTCCCTTTATAACCAACTTTTCCACTTTAAAAAATAGTTGAATTCTTTAATATTTACAAAAAAATTTGAAAATTTTAGCTATAATTTGCAAAAATAAGAGTTTATATTAAAGAAAATATTGTATAGAACAAAATATTTGTTCGCACAGTTTTTTTTAAAAATATTTTTTAAATGGTAAAATAAAACTGACTTTTTGATTAATGTTGTAAAATTCATACAGGAAATGATAACGTTGTATCATTTCTTATATTTAATTTGAATTTATAACTTCACGTCTTTTGCTACTATTATAAAATATAAATTGACGGGAGTTTACGTAAAAGAGATAATTTGATTTAGCAATGTCAAAGAGACAAAACCTTTTTATATGTTAGTTATTAGTTGTACAAAATTATTGAAATGATCAAGAATTTCCTGATAAAGTTACCCGAAGTAAAGGTCTGGGCACTTCATGACATTTTCATTTCAAGGCCAAATTTGTAAAAACATCAGCAAATTTTCCACAAATTAATTATTGCAAATGCGAAATTACGATAGCAAGAATAGTTGTGGCGTAGAGCAAAATTGTTAATTAGTAAATTTAATCACTAAACATTTTATTTTAACTTATCATAGTTATTCTCAACAATAAAAATTTTAAGAAATTTTTTAAAATATTTATAAGTTAGATTTGATTTTAATATTGGAAAATTGTTTAACCTCACGAACGATTGAAAGTGAGACGAAATCGCCCATCACAAGCCATACAAAGGGTAAAAGAATAGCTTGAATAAGTGCTAAGACCAATCCAATAACCATTAGCTGTAAAAATTAATTCTTTCGTAGTAATTTTATTTTTGAGAAATTTAGGATCGAATATTTAAGGAAATTTGTGTTAAAATAAAGGAAAAAAAAAAAGGTAACTTTCAAAAAATTAATAAATGATAAGACGAGAATGAATAAATTAAAAAAGATATTTAGGAATAAAATGATTGATTATCTTACCTGAATATCAACTTTATCAGCAAAACTATAAAGACTCCAAGATTCGTTGCTTTTATTAGATTGTTTTTTGACACCCATTGTCAAATGCAAACTAACTTTTATGTTTGAATGATTCCCTAACTCGTTTAACCTTTTAATCTTTTTCGACTTAAAATTTCATTCGGAAAATTTCCTGAAAATTACTACTGATCAATTTTCCCTTTCAAAAGTGAATTTCCAAGAAATTCTCTCAAATAGCTTGATTTCAAACTCAAATCGTATTATGATCAATCATTTCGTGAAAATTATCAATGATAAATGATTATCATTTCTGTAGTTTTAAATATTTGCTAACAATAATCAATAACAAAACTTTTATAAGGAATGATAACTTAAAAAAAAACCAAAGCGTTTTCATTTCATTTTTTTATTATTTTAGAATAAAAGTACCAATATTGTTGCATTTTCTAGGAGTTAAAAAAAAAAAATATTGCATATTTTTTTTTATTATTATTAAAATAATAGAGATTCAAGAAGAGTGACAGTATTTGACATTTGACATTTGACATCAATAAAATGATGAATAGAAAGTCTTTCTTCTTCCTCACTAATTCTCGATCAGTTCAACGAAATTAATTCAAAAAAAAAAAAAAAATAGAAAAAAAAAAGAAAAACGAAAAAATAAAAAAGAAAGTATTTTGTCAGTTAGTAAATGAGCAAATGAGTTGTCGACAAATACTGGCTGAAACCAGAAATTCAATAATGAAGACAGAAGCGCCGACAATGACAATGAGAAAGAGTATTACCCGTTTAACCCACCATCAACTTCTTTTTATCATTATGCAACGGATGTATGTGATGTGATAACGATGATTGCAGGTAATACTACTGATAATTTCCGCCTCTGAACAGTCAAATTTCATTGCAAAAGCATTAATTACGATGAAAAATGTGAAAGAAGTGCAACTTGTATTATCAGTGATTGATAATCGTACATGAATTCGATGACATCTAATCATATCATCTATTAGACGGATAAATGCGCAAATGTCTGACAATATGTTATCATTCAAAAATGAATTAATGTGTGAAGTAAGAAAAAACAATCATATTTTAATATTTTCAATATTACAATATTGCATTTGTTATAGGGAAAATGCAAAAAAGAAAAGAGAAAAAAAAGCTATTATTAATTTAATTTAAGCAATTATTATAAATAATTTTTAATTTTCAAAAATTTTAATTAGAAATTAGTAAAAAGCAATGAAAGACAAAAAAAAAAGAAATTTGTTTAAAATTTTTATGTTAATTGCATTATGAAATTATCACTCATTGTATCGTCCATAAATGCAATTATAAAAACTTTTTTTTTTTCTTACAATAAATTATTTTTTAAATTGATGTGTCACATAAAATTTTAATGAAATGTTCAAAGTTATTTTACATACATGACATTTAGTTAGTATAGATTATAATATTAAAAATTATATATATATATAGTAATTGAGTTATAAAGTTTTTTTTTTATCTTACCTATTCATTTGTTTATAACTTTTTGAAATTTAATTTTAATTAAAACGAACTTAAATTTATTTTATTTTCTCATAAAATATTAAAATCTTTCATTACTCCAACAATAAAAGAAATCATATATTAGCAGAATTGTTATTATTGAAAATTTGTTTTTAATTTGTCTAAATATTTAATAATTTTTTTTTTAATAATTTTCCTGAAATCTAGCTAAAAAAAAAATTAATGAATTATAGGAGAAAAAATTATGTAAAATGCAATTGATTGTAAAGTAGAAATTTTAACTGAAGCTGAAAGTTAATATGCGAAAAGATTTCAATGTATTTGCATGAAAAGCTTCAAAAATTAATTTTACACAACCTTAATGTATTACTAGGATTGACTAATCAATTTAGAGAAATGCAAAAATTTAATTATTATGAATTTTTAAGTTAATTTATTGAAATTCAGAAGGTAAACGATAAGTTTCACTAATTTGTTTTCTTAAAATTTTAGTAGAAAATCGTACATAATTATATCTAACAATGATTTTTGTTTTTGTTTTGTTTTTTTTTTTTTTTTACCATGAAAAATTCAAAAAATATTGTTTAAATCTTAACAAATGTTTTATAAATTTTCATTGAGAATGATCATTTCAAGAAAACCAAATATATTTCATTTAATAAAATATTTAATTGAATTATTAAAAATTGTTGTGTCATATCAATAAGCAAATTAATGCCTAACATACAAGTTAATTAAAGTTTCAAAAAGCATTTCATTGATTTTGCATCGAAATTAAAAAATTTATAGTTAATAAGTTCAGAGCTAGCGCTAATGTCCTTATTGCCAATGTCAAAGGTCAGCTAACCTTCCATACAGACTTTTGTACAACTCTTATCCAATCTTTTTACATGCAATGCTGCAGTAATTTAATTTTAAAAGAATTTGAAGAAAGACAATTCACCTTTAATTATGTGACACAAAGTTTTGACCTCTCTTCAAATGTAACCTTTTGGTATATTTACTTTTTCAAATTGAACAAATTCAGCTGTGTACAAATCTAATTATTTCCTTACATTTTTTTGATTTTTATTAATTAATGAATGATAAACTGACTAACTGGAAATAATCATCGGAAATTATTATCATTAAATCTAAATTATGCATTAACTTTAACTTTTCTTATTATTTTATTTTAAAGTTATTCTGATAATTTCTTTACATATAGCTTGTAGAAATGGACAAATTAATCAAATTTTCTTTATATTATTGCAACTAATCAATAGGAAATTAATTAATTATATGAAATTCGACTTTATGCTAATGAAAGATAATTTGTCATTTCATTCTTTCTTTATTCTATCATATCTCAGTTCATTTTAACTTAATAAAATTGAATAAATTTCATTTTTATTGTGTCGTCTATCTTACACATAAAGAATATATTTAATATTTCATTTATTTCTCTGATAATATAAGTTTTGCCCAGGTAACTGATTTTTTTTTTTGAATTTTTCAATAGAATAGCTTTTTTTGATTGTTTATTAATTGTGTAAAGTGTAATTGTTAGGTAAATGCTATATGTAAGTATTAAAGCTAAACATCTATTAGTGAAAAGAAGTGACAATTTGCGCCTCTTTCAATTTGATCCCAAATCAATAACAATTTAAATTATAATTCTTTTTTTTTTTTTTTCATCTCAAATTTCTTCTTTCATCTTTCCTCCTTAACAATTCGTCTCTATATTGAATCAAATTGATCAAATTTTGCAATTGAATTTAAATCTAATTCTTATATTTAATTAACAAAATTTGAAAAATTGATCCCATCAAATTATCATTTCCTTAAATTGGAATTTATATCAACAAATCTGCATATTAATGCTTAATTTACATAATTATTAATTGAATAAATTTATATTTGAGGAATCAATTTAATCATTTTTGCGGAAATGTCGCTCTTATCGCAGATGATTGTAACTGTTTATTTCCTAATTCATTTTATTCGTTAGTTATTTGTCATACTTAAAATATAATTAACTTACTCATTTACAATTTAATAAATTATTCAATTTAAAAAAATTTTACCTAAGAATTTGTCTTATTAATTTATCGATGAAAAAATTAATTTTAATACCATTCATCATTTCATTTTTATGATATAGTAAAAAGTACTTAATTGATACATTAGTTAATTTCAAGTGTGATACATTATTATTAACAGCAATTCAGTGATATGATATTTTATCACTGATAAAACAAAGATTGACAAAAAACAGAAAGAAATCATTTGAAGATGCAGAATCGGACAGTGTTTGTTTTTTTGGTGAAGATGAAAAACCAGCAGAGCAATCATACTGCAGCGTTGTTAACATATTGCCTAGCAAACCCAAAGAAGGTTTTGCATTTTAATTTAATTATGGTTTTTAATTTTGTCATTTTATTCTTTTTAAAATTATTGAGCGAAAAATTTTGATGAAAACATTAGGAAATGATTTCTTTTTTTGCATTATAAATTAATAAAAAATTTTATCTCATTAAAAAAAAAAAAAAAATGAAATTTATAACGAATATAAAATGTAAATGATAGTACTTTAATGTGACACAAATGTTTTTTTTTTTTTCTTACTTTCTTGTTTTTTTTTTTTGCAAAATTACTTTTTAATTATTGGTTAATTACGGCAAAAATTTTTATAGTTTTCACAAGTAAATTGTTTGAAAGAGATAGCGAAGGACAAAAAATGATAATGGATGACTATTGCGCATCTAATGAACAACTTCAATTTGGAGTGATGAATTATCTTGCAGTGCGACATTTTCTCGTCATGTATTTTTATCTTTCATCTTCCTAAGTGTTTGACAATTTTCACATTAAAATTTTCTAATTGAAAACAAATTATATGGCATAAAGGTTAAGAGAGCGAAGAGAAAGAGAGAGAGAGAGAGAGATGAAAAACTACCCAAAAAAACAATGGGTAACTAATTTTATTATTATTTTTTCCTTTTTTTTTTTTTTTTTAAGGAAGATTTAGAAATGGTTCGTAGTCAATTCTTCATGTGTTGCACTAATTGCATGTTACTTCGTGAAAAAAACAAAGTAATTTTTCAAAACTCTTTGTTAATTTCAACTACACTAATCAAAATAATTTCTTTCTTTTTTTTTGTTTTCACTTCTTAATTAGTAAAATTTTAAAATTGTGAATTTTTTAGAATTAAGAAAAAAAAATAATTCATTCTTTTCAATATTTTAACATTTTAAAAGCTAAATTATTATAATTTTATTATTATTATTATTATTATTATTTTTTTTTGATGATATAGATGAAATATTATAAAATTCAAATTTATTTATAAAAAGTATTGTTTTTTGTTTTCTTTTTTTAGTTAGACAAAAAGTTGCAATTGTTAACATTGAAAAGTTTATTTATGATGAAAGGTATATGTATTCGAGCAAATAACGATTTTGGTTATTGTGAGGAGTATCCAAATTTTTTACCACAAACGTGGTTTTCATGTCCTGGCTTATACTCTAATCAGGTTTCACCTCTCTATGCTAGCTAAACTATAAAAAAAAATAAATAAAAATTAAAGCTAAAAATTTCAATGAATTCTTTTTTCTGGTAAGATATGATAAGAGAATTCAATAGATATAAATAAGAATTTGAAAGTTTAAAAATTAATTTATTTAATTCTTCTTTTTTTTTCAAATTTTTGCGATAAAAAATTGAAATAAGATATGAAAAAAAAAAGTTTTCTTAATTTTACTAATTTGCTTAATTTTTGTAAGAATATTTTCAATTGATAAAAATGATAATATAAATTATTGTTATCAAATTTAGGTGATAAGTTATCCATTCTATGCTCCATGCATGTTTCACTTAGATAGTTATTCAACAACACGAATTTATAGTGGATTTGCTATCTATGCATTCTTGGATCAAATTAATCGTAATTATGTATCGAATTTTTTTTTTTTTTTTTTGCTTCATTTTATTTTTCAAAAAGAAATTAATTAGCTTTTATAATTTATAAGTGAAAAAGAGAAGCTTTAGATTTTGGAATTTGAAGATTTAAAGATAGACAAACAATATTCTAATTAATATTTAATTAGTACTCACTAATATATCAGGCAAAAAAAAAAAACGAACAAATTAATAAAAATTATAATTTTGATTGAATAATCTCAAAGTATTATTAATCTTTAATATTATCTTAAAAATTTGATCATTAAGAATGACACTGATAAATAGATCAATGTTTATTATGCTTAAATATTTGTTGTAGGTATTTGGTAAGTACAAAATGATATGTAATCCGTATCAGTATGGTTCGAAATTTAATCCAATTCATTCCGAGGTTTCTCATAAATAAAAATTCCAGTAATTTAGAAAATTTCTTTGTGTATTTTTCAAAGAATCATTAATCATCATTAACAAAGATCTTAAAATTAAAAAATCATTTTTCAATCATTAAGAATAAGTCTTAAAATAATTTCTCTATTTTTATGCTTTCTATTATTTCTCGTTTGATTTAGCAATTATCGTTTTTCTGAATTGCAACAACTTAATAACTTATATTCTTCCCTGACAATTTTTATTTCTATTTTAAAAAGTTTCTTGTTAACAAATAATCCGAGAGCACTTTTTCATGATATATAAATCTTGAAGGTATTGATAAGAATTACTTATCACAATTTCATATCAATATTTAATAACTTAATTTTTTAATAATTGTTGCTATCTTATTTTTAAGTCAAATTAACTCAATTAAATTACGAAACTTAGCTTGTTAGAAAGTATTTGGATGTGTTTTAATAGGAGAATAAGCATTTTTATAATTAAAAATATTCTTAACATTTCATTTTAACAAATCTCATCTTTTCTCTCTTTTTTTTGTAGCTTCTTTGAAATTAAATTAACAAATGAAAAAAAAAAAATCATCTAAAATGATAATACTTAATCATTCAACATTCAGTGATCATTTATATTTGCTTAATTTTATCAACTAATTAATTAGCATCATTCAAACATTTCATTCAGACTGAATTTATACCTGATGGACATTGTGTCATTCGATATAAAAATCGTCATTACGAGATACATTGTTGCTGTTATTGGCGCTTTCGGCATAATTGTACGATACCATTAGATGGCGAAGTGCACATTTGCGCCAATAGAACTGAAGAGGCAATAAATGGCGAAGAGAAAATTATCAATACCACACTTCAATCTTTACCTCTTGCAAGTGTAAGTTTCTTTTTTTTTTTCTTTCATTTTCAAATTAATAAAAAATTTAAAGATTATGAGATATATTTGATGCTTATGGTCAATTTAATAAATAATCAATTTAGCAAAAGAGGAATAATCAAGAAAATTTTATCTTTTTTTTTTCTTGTAGTTTTATTGATAGAGAAAATATTACTTCTTTAGTCAGATAATCTAAATCACTGATATTTCATATTTATGATTCGTTTATGCAAGCCCCTCTTACCCTGCCCTTCCTCTTACCCTGCCCTTCCTCTTACCTCCTTGATTACTTTCTGAACAGCAATAAAATACTGTCATATCAGTCAGTATCAAACAATTTATTACTTTTAAAATGCTCACATTTCTCTTTATTAAATGTTATCTTTCATAATTGATCAAACTAAAATCTATGAGTATTGATCACTCTTAGATAATCAATGATTAAATTTCCTATAACATTTAACTCATTTCATTTTTCTTTTTTTATTTTAGAGCTGTTTTGCATCGTTTCATCTAAAGGTAACAAATGAGGAAACAGCACATTTGGTTAGCACTTCATACGGTGTACCAACAAAAACCGAAAATGACACCCACCGGTGCTACCAGTATACCTCGACGAGTCATGCAACGCAATGTTCGGCAATTGAAAGTTGTCCGAAAATGTGTCCTTTACTGGAACCTTTTCCAATTGAATCATTTCAGACGTTGACGGTATCAATTGCGCTCTTTGTTTTTATCTTTGATAACTGATTTAAGTAGAAGCGCAACAGTTCATCTTAATTCAATTTATTTCTGAAGGTTTTCGGATAACTGTGACACATGTATTAAGCATTAATATAAACATTTCTTATATTTTCTGATTACTTAAAACTACCAATTTTTTTTTTTTTGGTTGTTAAGTTAAAACTAATTAGTCGATTAATTTAAGTTATTATGTGAAAATTTTCGATTATTTAAAATTATTAAATTGTTGTTGCTTAGATGTATTAATACTAATGATAAATGATTATGGGAATCTAAATAGAATTGAAAATTGTTTCTGATCGTTTTTACATTTTTGATAAAAGTTAAAATTATAATTAAATTTTATTTCTAAACTTTTAACACTAACATTTGTGATTATATAAATATTATTCTAGGTGTTATGTTGCTGTGATAACAGAAAAGACAGTATGTGCAATATGAAAACTGTAAGCAAAATTTTCCTATGAAATTTCTCATTTTTATTTTAATTTCTTATTAAATAAGCAAATTTAATTTTTAAATTTCAAAAATTTATAAATGAAATTAAGGAATTTGGTCAAAGTATTCTCAGCAATAATGGCAACAGTTATAAACTTCCAAAATGTGCCCATCGACATGTACTACAACACATCTTTTTTGCTAACATTTATGCTAATCATTGCATCGTATACTATGATTTCAGGCTAATGAAACCTTTAAATCTTATTTACGGTTAGTACAATTAATTGTCTCATAATTATTAATGAAATGAAATATAAAATTAATTGAGAAATTATTTAAATATACCTACTAGTACTAGTACTATCAATAGCGATGAGCTTTTTAAGCTATAAAATGCTAAATAAAAGAAAAAAAAATGAATAAAGTAAGCATTAATTAAAGGTTCAAAGTTCAAACAAAAATCTACTCTAGGCTGTAAGATAAGATAATAGCTAATTATAATTATTTCTTATTTAAGGCTATAATATGGAATTTGAAACTTCAGCGAAAGAAATTTATAGTAGCAATCAGGAATTCATTTTAGCCGATATCTTTCAATATAAAAATCTCGAAAACTGTATGATTTCATATTTATTTCTCTCTGAAAATTAAAAATTACTTAAGCTAAATATTAACTAATTTTATTAAACATTTGCTTAAATATTTATTTTTCAAATGATTGTGAAAGATTATTTAATATGACTTTTTTTTTCTCAAAAAGTTTGTGCTGCTAGTAAGTAAGAACCAATTTATTTTATTGTTTAGAAGAAAAAAAAACAGTTAAAATAACAAATTCAATTTGGTTAAAATTTGAGAAAATAAAAAATATTTAAATTAGACTAGTTGTACAAGAGAGAGAGAGAGAGAGAGAGAGAGAGAGTTAAGAAGAGTGAAACAATGAATTTAATAAATTTTGAATTAATTCTAACAACTGAACAAATGGTACTAATACTCAATTCAATCAACAAATTAATGGAATTAAATGGAGAAAAAAAATACACAATAATTTTGTTTATAATATTTTTCATTTAACATCATCTTTTTCTTTTTTAAATTTATGACAATTAAATTTAGTTTAAGTTATTAGATTTTCAAATTTTCATTTGATATGGAACTGAAATAGATGGAAAATAGAAAGTATGAATTGATAACGCGATCGTTATCATATCAAAGTATGATAAAAGATTGGTGATTACAGCATGGACAAAATGTTGTACAGAAGTTAATGCAAGTGTAGAACAAATTGATCGCATCACAAAAAGTTCAAAAGCTTGGACAGTTGGAGTAATAAAATGTAATTCGAGCGCTGAACCGAAATGTGATGCTAATTTAGTTGAAAAAATTAAAAAACATCGAACTCATTACTTGGAATATTATCGAAACAAAGTTCATTTAATATAATTTATTGATTTTTATCTTTAACTAAATCAATTAATGAAATTGTTAGCTAATATTTAGTATTATAATGATTACATTGTAATTGAAATTAATTAAGCATAAAATGCATTTAAATCATATCACAATATTAGAATGCATTAGATATTATAAAATTTTAGTAGGACATTCTATTTCTTAGATATAATAAGAAAATTGCAAAAACTTTTTAGAAGAAAAAAAATAATACTTGAATATTTTTTTATTATTTCTATACATGGAGAAATTTGATTTATTAATTAAAATTGGAAATGCTTTTAAAATATCAGAAATATTCCACCTTATCACTTATCAGTTATATTAAATCTTAACAACTATTCAGTATGGTAGATTGTGTTATTTAAAAGAATTTGCTGAACAATATGTGACAACAAATCGATCATTACAAACTACTTGGTGCTATGAAGAATCATTTGGCCGAGGCCTTGGTTAATTTAAAAAAAAAAATTTCTTTTTTGAAATAAATTAAATTGTCTAAGAAATCGGGCACATTTATTTGAAATTTTATAAGAGCATAAACTTTTTAAATGAATTCTCTAGAAAATTTCACTGCAAATTTTTTTTTTTCGAAACTTATATGATTTTGATTTAAATAAAAATAATTTTTTTTTTTTGAAATATTTGTTATAGATTTTGTAAGCAGACGTGGTTTTATGCTAGAAGATAAGGAACTTCCACCTGGCAAAATATGTTCACATCGATTGAAGACCAATGTTCGATACTCAGATGATAAAATGTTTGCACATTGTTTCATGATAAAACGAAATAATGGTTATCTTTTATCTCATCTGATAAGAAATAACGTGCTAATAAGTAATACTTTAGAATTAAAAAAAAAAAATGATTATAATGAATTAAGTATTAACTAGAATTAGTTATTGAATAAATGAAAATTTTATTTATTATTTACTTTATTGTATATTACATTGAAAATTTTATCATTAATAATAATAATATTAAATATTTATATTTGAAGGTGAATTATCAGCATTTTGTTGCTGCTCCTCGACTATTGATAAGCCATGTAATTATATAAGCGAGAAATATTATATTTCTCGAACGACCGTAAATTATACTAAAAAAGCTCTTCAGGTCAACTTTGAATAACATATTGAATTGTACTTTTTAAATGACACATCCCTATCATTCATTTTTTTTTTTTTGTTCTCATAATAAATCATTATTAATTAGTAAACAATTCATTATTATTTCTACGAGATTTTTTTTTTCACGTATCACGGAAAGTTATTTTTACAGACACGAGAGCACTGCTTATTACCTGACGGTGGACGTGACTTCTGCCTTTTGGCAGGTAGTCATTTGGTGGTTTGTTATTACCTTGCTGATATGAAGAATGGAAAGGTGGAAGGTGGATGTGCTCTATCATTGACAAGGAAGTTTGAACGTCACAAACTTGCTAATGTTTGATTATTTCCTGTATTAGTGATATTGAAGTATGATTATGAATGATTAGTTGTTGTTGAACTTTCAAAAAAAAAAAACTATTTCAATTGTTATTTCTAGGTTTGTTTGATTAAATCATTGTATAATTTGGCAGTACCAGTTGAATTTTTACATGCAGCTGAAGCAGTTAAAATTTTTTGTTGTGCCGGAAGAGATGATTGCAAAGAATCACTACTGGAAATGAGACGTTTTAAAAGGTGAAATTCTTTATCCTTTACTATTTTACACAAAATTTAAATGATTGCTTTATTGCATTTGCTTCTTTATCTTTAAATTCCAATATAATTATTCAAATCTATTAAATTCCAGTAATAATAGTAAAAGTCTTGGCTAATTGCGCTAATAATCATGATAATATGAACAGTCTATTTTAACAATCAATTCTTAGAACTAATCAATGTTTCAAAAGATTTATTTTCAGACTTTTCGAGAGTGAACAGTTCAAAAAAGTCAAAACTTTAGAAGAGGAAGATTTTGCATTTATTACTTCCAAATGAATATGGATTACATACTGTATTATTACTGTTAATTTTTTTTTTTTATTTCAACTTTTGATAATGCATTCTTCAAAGAGAACATAAATAATTCTACAATTTTAAACTTCCTTGGTATAATTTGCCATCAGAAGACATCTTTTTTCTTCTTTTTTTTTTTTGGTCAAACTTTGGGACATTATTTAAGGATTACTTTCCAAGGCTACAAATAATCATGAAAAAGCATTTCCTCTTATATGAAAGTTTATGATATGAATTAAAATTGGACAAATATTAAATTCCCTACAACCTGAAATTCGATTACTGGATTAGATAACCTTTGTAGTGGGAGAGACTAAAATATTGCAGAGGAGAAAACAGAGATTCCTTTGTTCGTAACCTTTGTTTCACATCTCTTTTGTGAATTTTCTCCTCATTTCCTTTAACACAACAGCGATATGTGCATAGCACTAATCGCAATATTAATCGCAAGCACAGCACTAATCGCAACATAAGTCGCAAGCACAGCGTTAATCGCAACCATATATATGCTTCCTTCAATCAAAAATCAAAATTGCATCACATTATTGAAATCATTTTCATATTATCATTCGACATTGGATTGCTGCTGTTCAAATTACTACTAAAATTTCACAAACAACAAAAGTGTGACATATCATCAGTCATTGTATCACTCAGTGATTCCTATTATTTTATCGTCAAATAGTACAAGGAGAGAATAATAGTTCCATACCTCAAAAATCACTCATAACTCCATCAATTCAACATTTCTCAGTAAGTATAATCAAATATACAGTGCACCAATATTCTGTTTGAAGAATCTTGGAGAAAAATGACAAAGGTTGGTCGACGAATGGAATTAAAACCAAGACTATAAAAAGTTTTCACGAATATTTGTGGAAGATCAACACTTTTTTTCAGATCTTTTTTTTAGAAATGGTTTACTATTTCGCGGTAGCGATTTTAAAGTTTTGTATACATTATTCCATCTAACTGGGCATGTTGATTATGCAAGAAATATGACAAAATAGGTACTATTTACGGTTAATAGGCTAAATGCTGTATAATAACACAACGTATATTACTCTCTTACACGAAGAGTAGAAATTTATCATTTTTTGAAATTTGAAGAGCACCATATCTGTAACTTCAATATAGCTTCACAAAAATAGTAAAATTCCAGTAAAATCATGTTTAACAGTGTAAATAACTTAGTTGCTGTATTTATTAATTAGCCTTATTTATAATAATAAGCAAACAAAATGATGTAACTTAATTAACCTCTTATTAAACTTTGCATGGATAACCACCAAAAATTTATTCTTCGATCAGAGTTTAATAAAATTATGATTCAATAATTAAGAAAATATAATAGAAAATGAAAAGCTCAGCAATGAAAAAATAGAAACATGTTCAGTAAGTCACTGCAGAGAATAATAAGCTTCTTAAAAAATACTTAACAATTATTCATGGGTAAAAAAAGACTGTAAAAGATAAATAACAAAACGGCCCAGAATGATGGAACAAACCGAACATGGAAGTTTATTTAGATGATATTCATTTAAATGACATATGAGAAACAAAATCTTTGTTGTTTAAGGAAAGGGAAGTTTTATTAGCAGGAAAACAAGCATGGTAACTTGAGATCTCTTGTTCTAAGAAAGTGTCCGTCACTACCCCACGACGCATTCAAAACAAATGTTATTTGAAACATGAACAATAAAAAAACATTTCAATTTCAAATCTTCACACATCTGAAAGCTCTTTTTTCACTTCCATTGGTGCCATAAAATGAATTTCTGGAATTTGTCCTTCGTAAAGACAACCTTCAGAATATATTGGTGCAACGTTATTGGTAGGTCGATTGTAGAAACCTCCTGAAAAGTAAGCTTGCCAAGTGTTGATTTTATTACAGAAAACAGAATTTCTAAATATAAAAGGTTCAAAATATGAGGGATAAATACAAATCTATCGAAACAATGGATCGTACCGATAGCATCGGTGTACACAGCAGGACCACGTGTCATACCTCGACGAATACCATTTGGATCATCGTTATGAAAGGCGAAAGCTGCCACGGAAGACTGATCAACTGAAGGAGTGGTACCGCTACAGTTTTGCTCAATTGCACCCCCCGATCCAACATAAACGAGAATATCTTCTTGACCATTTCCTCCAGCAAATGTTTCGACTTCTTCCTAGAAACAAACTACTTTTATATTGACATAATGATTGCAAATTTAACAAAATCAAACCCATTAAAACAAAAATATCTCAAATAAGTCAAGTTATTATTCAAGCGCTAATTTTGATTTCTACAACTTGAACAAATGAAAAATTAAACAGCCAAACCTTGAATGTAACCGTTGCTCTGTACGGCATATTTGCAATAATTCGTGCGGGTTTTTTAAAATGTGCAATGAATGCGCGTCCATCACCATATGTACCTTTCAGCGTTGCAGATGTAAAATCAGTTGCCTTTGTCTGACCAGAAGATGCCACCTACCAAAATATTCACATTTCTAAGGAAAATAAAGGAAGTTTTGAATCCCAAAAAAATAAAAACTGCCTATCTAATGAACTAGGCATAAACTTCTAGAAAAAAAAAAAAAAAAAAAAATGAAAGAGTAAAATTTGACCCAAAGCGACTTATCAAAATGATATGTTTTCACTATTTCTTATAGTTTTAACGTATTTAGTTCTTCTGTAATGACTGACAATATGACCCCATGACAATCAGGATAGAAACAAGATCACAAATATGATTTCTGCAGAAATAATTGTTCCACTTAGCTTATTTTCAAAGTACCTTTTTCAGAAATTTGAGAAAGTATTCCTACATCCACTGATAGCAATTTTTTTTACATAACATAAAGTTGAATACAGCGATTGTCATTAAAATATCGGTACATTTCTAAATGTATGACGATATCGCGCAAATAATTTGCTTAGAAATCTCCAGTATTCAATTATTGAAAGCATTTCATATAGTTGATGAACTCTGTTTTTTGGAGACAAGGATGCACACACTCTCTTTCGCCGATACCATTACAAAGTAAAACAGATATAATTCAGAAGATTTGTTTAAATCCAGAACCCTAAAGCGGCAATGGTAACAATAGTAAGCGCAAATGCGTTACTGATCAAAAGACGCTCTACAATTCGAGAAATTTTAATGAAAATTTTGATAAGAATTATCATTAATAAGTATAATAATAAAATAAATTATTGATTGGAGTATTATATATATGTATACATATATAAACCTCAACATCAACGGTCGTTTCCCATTCGCTGCCCTCAGCATTCGTTTCATTCTGTACTAAGCCATAGATGCCAAGCGCTGTCACCAGTATTTCGCGATTCACAATGAACCTTGAATTTTTTATAAAACATATATATAATAATAATAATTATAGCTATTATTAATAATAATAATATTATTATTATTATTGTTATTATTATTATCATTATTATTATCATCATCATTATCGTTACTTTTATTATTATCGTCATCATTATTATTGTTATTATTTGTGGCAGTATAATTATTATAAATATTTTCTGCATCCCTTTCTCAAGAAACAATATTTCCAGATTCATTCAAAATGCGAGCAATTTTTTACACTCCACTTTCAGTCACTGTAGGCAATAACCCATGCGCCATGATCACATAATTCTAAAATTGAAGATTTTCCTTCGAACCTGTAGCATACATCCCGCAATATTATACTGTAGAAAAATAGCTAAGGAGACAGAAGAAAAAAAGGAACAATAAAATAGCAATACAAGAACAATACTCAAAGTTGAATAGGACATGGAACAGAAAATTGAGTTGAGTGGGATAAAATACATCGGATGTACATATGCTAATCAGAAAAGCTAAGGACAAGAAGAATCTCTTTTAATCATGTTTAGGAATAATTTACAAATATTCATTACTTCAGCCTGTGAGTTCTAATATCAAGATATTTGCTCAAAAACGATATTCTACTCAAAACGAAACTTTATCAGTCGAACAATTTAGAAAACGTACCAAATTGTACTGCGTTGCTTTTTGCATGTATTCTTACTAAGATTCATGAAACGTCGCACTACATACCGCGATCGACTCAAAATCCTTCGCTCTAAAAATTAAAAAAAAAGATATCTCTATCATTCAGCCAGTATTTCATTCGCAATTTCACTTACCATGTGTGGGATAAGGCAAATCGATGCCCACATGAACAGTTGATGTCACGTAACGGAAGAGAACACCAATTTCCAAATCATTCAAGATGCCAGAATTTGCTGAAAAGAACAAAAATTTTAATTGAATTATATTTCATGACAAAACTGAAATTTTCAGCTGAAATGTAATTCATTAATTGAGTTTCAATAATTCTTATTTTCCCACCTACTTCACCCAACTCCTCAACCGTCATTGTTGGGAATCGCACATCATTGAGAACATCGGCAACAACGAGGCGTTTATTTTCCGCAGTTTCTTCAATCCCACGACGCTTACATTCCTGAAACCAATAAAATTAGCTTTCAAAACTTCGAAACGGTAACGCCTAAATATTCATCCATAATAAACACTGCTGAAAATAGAGTCAAAAATTAAGATGTACCGCTGCAGCCCAATTGCACATTGCTTTGAAAACTGACAATTCTCCTGATGGTGAAAGCTCTGAACGTCTAACCAATTTTTTTAGGGTCTCAATACTGACATTAGTAAGTGCTGAAAATGCGAACTGTTATTCTCTAAAAAGACATGAGAAATAATAGTAGAAAGGGGAAAAATAAATGCGAGCAGTACAATTTTTCAAAAATTGTGCGAAAAAATTGCTTTTCGATTCTGATACTCAGAATTAAATTTAAGAGGTCACAGTTTAAACATTTTGATTCTAACTGAAAACTTAAATGTTATAACTTTCAATAACCTTAATTTAAGCAACATCTTAAGGAGTTACAATAATTTAAAATCACTATAACTACAACAGCATTCCTGTAAAAGATTT